ACAAGGTTGTCAAATTCCAGAAGTCACAGTTTGAGGGGACTCTGCCATTAAATGCTTGTATCTTCTCAACTTCTCAGCTTTATTTATTGATCTGCACTATCTCGCTCTTATTCAGGAAGAAATTGGCTTGACTTACGATGAGCTCTCCGTAATCGGGCAGCTGAGACGTCCACATGGGATGGGACCGTACAGCACATTCCTTGCTTTGTGTTCGATGTGGTATCCGAAGTATTCCTATAACGAGGTGCTCTAATTAGTGCCAAGAAACTCGTGATGCAGGTGACACGATCTTATTACAGATAGAGGAGAAGGTGAAAAAGTTTTTCTGGCGCTACCGTGTTAATCGACACAAAACCACTGTTGCTACCCCAGGTAATGCGTACCCATATCGGTCGAACTGTGCTTGAAATTCTATTGCTTGCAGCTTATCACGCAACCGAATATAGTCCCGACGATCATAGGAATGACCACCGACCCTTTTTGTACCCAGATATGTCTTACCAGTTCGAGAAGATCCACTCGAAGGTCTTTTTTTCTGTCATACAAACATTTTTGAAATATATGTTTTATATCAAATGAGAAAGGTAATGTTCAATTGAGATATGTAACGCTTTCCAGGTCATGGAGCTGAACGCCCGTGATGACAAATGTTGAGACAAGCTGCCGTATTCGTGTGCCATATACTAGGCTGCTGCAATAAGTTCTGTCCGATTTTTTGGTCTGTTCGAGCTGTTCTAGGAGATTGATGCGAAAATGTTTCTACTTGTGGAAAGCGTTTTTCTTCCTCCTTCTGAAACATATTGTATTCCATGAATATTCGGTTCATTAAGATTGTCGGTCCAAGAGCGCAGGCAACTGAAATATTGTATATAATATTGTACATGATAATATGTTCTTCACCAAAAAACAAATTCTTGTGAAAAGATTCAATGTTCCTGCAAGGGTCACCAGATAAGGGCCTAATGTGCTAACATATGCACTTATCTACTTAAATTCAAAAATCGTCTTACTCGTGGGATTTTTTGTCAAGTCAGTGCTTCACATAAATGTTCCATAGGTGATAACATTCTATGGAAGCTATCGATAAATGGAAATTTGTAGGGGAAAGCATAAAGCAAGAGCTAGCAGAGCTCGCATCACTAACTCTTCAACGCTCGCGACATTGATAAGAAATTCGAAATTTGAAGAAAGCCATGAATGCGTGCACAAAAGCGAGGGAAAAAATCTGCCTTTTTCATCTGCTTAAAATAATCTAGCTTAAAAATTGCAAGAACTCTTCTCGGTCATAAAATAATCTTCAAAATTTTATCTATAAATGGCTACTGAATATGCCAATCTTTGCAGGAAAGCAGCATCATATCAAATAAAGATAGGTTGAAAGCAAGCGCGGCAAAATTTTTGCAATTCTGCTCTTTCTACAGTAGCGCATTGTGTGAGGCAAATTATCCTTTTCTAGTCAAAAGCTTGCTTGATCCTGTCCGAGCTC